CAGGGCTTAAGAATTCAATGGTGAATCTCTTCAGGGAAAAAAAAAAAAAAAAACCAAAAACTAAGAAAAACACAGTAGAACAAACTTCCTCTGGTGTGCAACCCAGGGAGAACTGTTCACAGTCCTGGGTGGAGGGAGTTAGGAATAAACTAGAGAGTGCTGTGCACCAGGTCAGAGGTCATAGAGCCTCCTGTGAATGTTGTACCGGGAGATCCAATGGTCATGGTCCCACCCTACTATTGAATAGACAAGGAATATAATATACATCTTCTCCAGAAACTGGCTCCTTGGCACTTAGCGCAATGGTTGGTCCTCAAGTAGATAGTGGATGGAAACTGGCATGCAGCACTAAGTTTTTCCAGAAAATGCCATTACACTGGGAAGGTAAGGATGACTGCACCTCTCAAAGACAAATTAGTGACTTTTCCTTTAGTGTATTCTGGTTCTTTGAAACTTATTAACGAACACAATCTAGCTAGAGAAGACAATGGCATGCAAAAATCAGCCTTAAACTTGAAATTATAGATAAGCAGAAGTGTTAAAAATTGACTAATCAGGACCAGAAAGACAGCTTAGTGAGTAAAAGCACTTGCCACACAAACCTGACAACCCACGTTCAATCCCTGCAAGCCGTGGTAGGAGTGCCCTGCTTTCTCTAACTATCCCGACCGCCATATTCAAGCTGTAGCATGCATGCAAGGGTACACACACACACACACACACACACACTCCACGGTGTGACATAAATCATTTCCTGAAAGTTTGTGTTGTCATAAGTCTTTGCATCATTTAAGTTTCCAGTTGAATTTTAACATATTGGTAATTAGATTTCCAGAAAGTTCTAGGCCAAGTATTGGCTCAAACAGGATGACACTATTACAAAGTCAGATTTGTTTTAAAAACAAAGATGCTTGCTAAACAGCATGTTAAAGTAACGGGCAACTTCCCCCCCCCCCAGACTGTTCTCAGAAACCCTAATAAAGGACCTGAAAGTTAAACAAGTCCATTAGGCAGAACTCAGTCAACAAGCTAATATTAACTTATACTTCCAAGAAATGGAGTCTCCCAGGATTTTGACTTCAGAAACCAATGAGAAATTGTATAACTGCCTTTAAGAGAACTCAACAGCATAAACTTTTAATTTTATGATCCTGGCATATGGTAGAAAGGGATATAAAATTTGTTGTTTTTTTTTTTTTTTTTTTTTTTGAGAGTTGTTGGCCTGGAATTCACTCCATAGTCTTGACTGTCCTTAAAACAGGGGGCTTCTACTGCCTCAGCCTTTTGAGTGCCGGGACTGACACCCAAATTAAAGTCTTTTATCTTCTACTGTCCCAAGTGTTTGCTTGCCAGTACATTTCTTTTCCCTGTATTCTTCTGCAGGCAGAGAAGCTCCCCCCCACCCACGTCAGTCATGCAGGAGTTCTGGTACCCAGGAGCCCCTCTGACAGGGTTCAGAGCCACAGCACACAGCTAATCCACTGCTCGTTCCAGACAGAGGGTCTTTCCCTTTCTTCTGAACCACATAGCCCACTCATCCTTACCTATTAAAACCTCTTTCAGAGTACAAAGCCACTGGGCCAAAAAAGCTGGCTTAGGGTCTGGACAAATCTTGCTGACAGACACTTTCTCTATGTGATCTGGTTGTGTGTGTTGTGTGTGTGTGTGTGTGTTGCTTGTTTGTTTTTAAGTCACCAACGGAAACACAGGAGTGTCCTCTAGCTCTCTTCAGGTTCTAGCAAGTTTCCATGCTCGTAAGTCAGCTCTGGGTCTGACTCCTTCTGGCTTCATAGCATGGTGGTTGGAGTTGTTTTCCTTGGAAACCACAACAGCAGTGCCCAGCACAATGAGAATACAGTGCTGTGGACTTTTTAGAGGCATCCCTTAGACAGCTAAGGTGCCTATGTCTGGAAGCATTGCTTCTCTTCAGGAAGGAAGATGGAAATACACCAGGAATGGATTGGTAAGGTGATGCGAAACTCCTGTTCCCAGCAGAACGCAACCTGACGATGGGAAAGAAGGTTGAGCTGTGTGCTGATACTTTTATGTGGACTCAGGGCTTGGGAGCCAAACAGCGCCATCTTCAAGTGCTAGAAGGAACCAGGATGGAATTGCAGAGGAAGAATGAACAGGACAGGTGCAGGAGAACTCCGAAAGACTCTTAAACCCCTTGTATGCTGTTTTTACTGTCACCGAAGAAAGCATGTATTTGAGGCATGGATCAGCTCAAGCTCTTCTTCCAGGATCCTCTTCCTGTTCATGTGAAACCATGAAAGTACAAAGTAGCAAACTTTCAAAGGAGACAAGAAAAGGCCTCAGAAGCTGAGTCAATGCTATCTTTCGGTCAGATTAACTGACCTGGATCCTTTGCAGCAGAATGGGTAATCAACTCTAGACCAGACAGAAATGCCTCAGGTGACAGGCCTTACATTAACAATATACCTTATGTGATTACTTTACGTCTATACATTCAGTTTTTAAGTAACAGTCAGATTCAACTCAGTTGACAGCAGGCCACCCAGGATGCTCTGCTGGCAATTCCCTTCTGACTACTTAGACACAAAAGCAGTGTTTCTTCAAGTCTCTTGACTTCACCTTCAGAGTGAAGCTGTACCATACAAGAAATTCTCAGTAACTGGCAGAACAAGTAGGTGACCCGAGATTGCACCAAGGAGAAAGGTAGGCTGTTCATATGGACTTTGTGACAAATTAGGTTTCGAATGGTGCAAGCCAGAGGCAGTCAGCGAGGGGAAACGGAGAGCAGAAGGTATCTCCTCCCAGCTGGCAAACTCAGAAAGGACCACACACCGGAAAAGCCGAAAGGGATGCAAACGAGTCAACTGGGAGTGTGGACAGTTTGTCTGAAAACGTGCTTCAGATTTACAAGTCACAATGGAGTCTCAAATCTCTCGTCACTAATACAGAATTTAACAACTATCAGAAAAAAAACCCTAATATCCTGACATAATAAAAGGTCACACTTGAGAAGACCTTTCTAATAATTTATGGGACAAGTGTGCTCATGTTAAAGGGCATTGCTACTCAACCAAATAAACATCCATCCACAGAGGACACCACCATGCCCTGTGCCTCAGGCTCGACATTCTCCACTTGTTCTCAGAAGGGAATGGCCTTTGCAGGATCTACTCCCTTGCTCTAGAAGTAGCTTCCATCTTGTGGCCGCAGGTCTCTGTGTGAAGAGGCAGTGGACCACCTTCAAATCCTGGAAGCCCTGTCTTTGGAAGCAGAGAATCACTGAGGGGGGAGATCAAGATCAAAGCGAGTGACAAGGACCCCATATCTCAGGGCATCCTCACACACCACTGTCCCTGCCTGTGCAGACACTGCACAGCTATGTCCAGCTTTTGTGTCTGTGCTGGTGAAGGCGTCCCAGCTTCCGGCAGATTTCCGTTGGCGTTTCTCTACAACGTCCCCACCACAGCAGGCCGCTGCTCCACTCACCTTCTCCGGGTCCCGCTGTTAGTCTATGTAATGCTCACAGATCTGTTACTCTTTGGAATATGATGTACCAAGGCCATGAAGCATGGTCACCCAGGAAGGGACAGACTTCCTATGAGAGACACACTAAAATGCTCTCGAATCAATATTACAAGTAAAACAAAATTGAGTATAGTCTTAACGTTTTCTCCAGAAGTTTCTGGGAGATGGCCATTATGACCATACCCGCAGTTTTCCACTATACATGATACTCTATACTATTTTATAAAGTTATACAACAGAAACAAGAGTTTTATTGATAATGCATTCTCTCTAATATTTAAAATATTTATTTGAAATTAAATTAACCATTAAGTCACAAACATATTCAGAACATTCCAGAATAATTCAAACTCACCATTAGGCGATACATCAATATTTCCAAACACTGGCCTGACTACTCTTAAATACCATGCATGTCCATGAAAGCTACCCATGACAACAGGGAATGCCTCCAGTCCAAGACATCCCCGCATCCTCTTCCCTGCTAGGATGCACTCTGTTCCCTTGGACCTGCTTTGTGGAGTTCCAAGTGCAGCCCACCCTCACTTTGTACCGTCAGAATCCTAAAGTTTTCTCTTTAAGTCTCTTTCATTTGATCTCACGGTTTTCAGAATCTAAGAAGGTCTTTAAAATATTTATTCTGGAGGGAACAAAGTTTTTTCCTGGCTGGCTAATTCCTTCTGGGTGTATCAGATACCCAGGCCCAATCAATACTGTGGCTAGAACTGGCTAAAAGGAAACCTCTATTGACAAAAGTATCATGGAAGGAGAGTTTTTAAAAGCTAATTGTAATCAGAAAGCAGCTAAATAGACAACACATGTGGAGATTGGTATGTTACAATTAAAAAAAAAGTCTACCAAGTGTCTTCAGTGTGCTTTCTATTAAATAAGTATCATCTAACTCAGTCCACTGAAAAGAAAGGAGAAGGCTAGCGGGGTGAGGGGAGGCAAGGGGGGAAATGATGTAATTAAATTTTAATTAGAAGGGAACCAGTGGCAGTAGTACAGTCAGTTCAGTTTCTGAAGACCTAACAGAAATCTGAGGGTTATGGTGGCTACAGGCATGTAAGGATGCCAGGAACAATGAACAACTCACCAATAATAGAACTCACCACGATCTTTCCTGAGCATTTTCTCCATCCTTCCAAGTTGTTCTAACTGTGGTCTTTACAGTCACTACCGCTCAGTTAGGGTGGAGAGCATGCCTACTGACCACTGAAAAACTAAGCTCCAGAGTCAGTTACTGAAGTAACTAAGCATCCTCAAGTCTCTGAATTCCAGCAGGTGCAGGGGAGGCAGGCAAAAGACAACCAGCCACCAATGACTACAGCCACTGTCATCTGTGCTCGGTACCACGCATCCATCTGTCGGTGGTTGAACACTCCCTCACCCACATTCTACATGAGAGCAGCTCATACTTGTAAGGGAGTCAAATCTGTTGCTATTGTAGTTGTTTAGGGAAATTAATCCTTCCAGGAATTGAGGTTTTTTTCTCGGGGTTTCTCCCTTTACACAGACCACCGACCCCTTCCCACTAGGTCACCCACCTGACGAGAGGAACACAGGAAGGAGGTGAAAGTGAACGGCCTTACTCCCTCAGTGTGAGCACCTCTGATCGACAATACTGTCTAATTTTAAGGACAGGCAGCATTTGGCCATACATATATTTGTTTTTTGTTTTTCTGGTTTTTTGTTTTTTGTTTTTTTTAAGTCTACGTATTTCTAAAACAGATCTTGTGAGGTGATTTCCAGGTAGAAATTCTGTAATGCTGCATTTAAGATTGTTATAAGATGATTTCTCTTCTCTTCTTAACCCCTGATCAATGATGCCTGCAATCTAAGGAGCTCACATTGCAACGTAGGCAGGAAGGAAACCCAGCTAACTAAAACATGACAGGAGAAAGCCCACTGCCCAGACCACGAGAGGTCCACAGAGAACCTCCGAAGCAGACTGTCTCCAGAGCGTAGGACGCAGGCGACAGTCCTGAAACACACCTGTCAGCTTACAAGTACAGAGTTCTTTTACATACATTTATTAATCTACTGATTCACCCACAAAAACATTAAAATATGAAAACAACATAATTTCCAAGGCTCCTACATATTTCCAATATTCAACTTAGGGATCCAAGATTCTGAACATGCCATCACCAAAAAAAATTGCAAACCTAAAAAACAAAAAAGGGAAAATAAATTAAACAAGGGCAAAAGAAAAGACTTTTCCAGAAAAGGTCAATATTTACTTTTATAAACTTAAAACATTTCACCATTAGTGCTTCACTCGTCTTGCATTCACTCTAAGGCTTTACTTCAAAACAAAGCAGCTTCCATACAGTGAGTAAATACCCAACTGTACTCATATGTCACCTGCTTGTTTAGTATTTGCTGGGTCATCCATCACCTTTGCACATTTCTGAGTCTTCAATGGCACTCACTAGTCTAGTCCTGTCCTTCTCTCTTAGAAGTGGTCGCTGTGGACAAGAGACTGAGGAGCACTGAATGAAGCTATAGGCTTTTCCTTGAATAATTCACTTGTTTGGAGGCTTTTTTTTTTTTAAACTGAGTGACAGTGGCTGGTGTTTGTCCTCCAGTGCACTAACTTTCAGCACTTAACATTAAAAATATACCAGGTTCTCCTAACCTCAAAAGGGGCTGGCAGAATCCAGTGTGCTTGCTTTGCTTTCCTTTTCTATTAAAAAAAAAAAAAAAAAAAAAAAGCAAAAAGCCAAAAAACCTGTTTTGGTTTGGGCAATGAGAAATCAGGGATGGGGGGGGGGGGGGGAGAGAGGGAGAAGGAGAGAGAAAATAGCCCTAGTCAGCCTAGAATTCTCTATGTAGACCAGGATGGCCTAGAACTCAAAAAGATTGATCTGTCTCTGCTCTGGAGTGCTGGGATAACAGGCCACGAAGACCTGCTAGAAATTACAATGTCTAAACATACAGGCATCAGCAATGCTGGGAACTGTTTCTCACTAAGGCCCTCTCCCACACCCCACACTTAGGGCAGTCTCACCACGATGCCTCAAAAGTGCTGGGACTATGACTACAGAAATATACAGCTCTGCCCCTTCTTACTAAGACACTGTTAATACACAAAAATGAACCATGACCCACACGACTGTGGTTTAGACACCATGCCACTTAAGGCCAGAGCATCGTTCTATAGAAAACCAAGGGCTCAGAGTTCTCCCTTCCAAGAGCCGTGTAACCCTGGACACAGGAACAACCCACTGGTTATGTCTAAAACAGGTTAAGGCTGGCCAGTGAGAACAAGCTGAGATACAGACAAGAGTGCAGTTATAGATGACCCGCTGGGACCAGAGCTCCAAGCGCAGGCTTTATCTTGGTGCATGTGACCAGCTCGCTCTCGGCACAAAGTGTCACAGATGTGAAGGGAAGTCTTCCCTGAATCTTGCTACTCCCAACATGTAAGATTACAGACTGGGAAAACACTACAAGCGAACAGGAAGCAATGCACAGAAGTGCCGATGAGCGTCCATGAAAGGAAACACGAAAAGCAACATGGCGCTGCTCTAAAATGAACCTGTCCACCGGGGAACAAACAATTTGGAACTTGCCTTCCATGTGATCTGCTAGACGGGAATGAAATTTGCCCCCTCTTAGAGCTCAGTGATGAAGCAACTTCACGACTTAGGCTAAAATGCAGCAAGCCTGGGAGTTATTTCAGAAGCTAATGGTACCTGTATCTAGGGCGGGATATGAAATGACACCGGGAACCCCTTTTCTGAGCTAACGACTTCAGACACCTTTTGAATTTGAGCAAAGAATCTTAGTCTCTCTCAGAATCAAGCCTAGTCCTTTCTCTAAGCACTGTTGATAAAACAAACATGACACCTTCCCAAGAAAGTTGCACTAATATTAACAAATATGCACATATATATATACTAGTTATACTCCCTTCCACTATAAACTATTTAAATAAAATTTTGAATATTAACAATTAAATTAGAGCTGATAGATACATGTAAAATCACTAACTAAAAAAAATCACTGATTTTCAAAATGTGATTTACCTTTTGAAAATAAACCACACAGAGATACATAACATTAAAATTCTTAGGAGAGAACTCTCTGGCAAGAATTTTTCTTTTGCATCAAAGATACTAGGGAAGCCTGGATTCCCTTGTGTTTGGGAGCAAATCCTACTAGTTTTCAGTATGCAAATTCCTAGGGGCTCAAGGCATTTCATATGGCATATATTTTATTGCTACTTAGGCAAAAATAAAAACTGGTTCACACACACCTGAAACGTGTGATTTGCCTGTGGTTTTTCTGATGTTATTGCTGCTGTTGTTATACAACATCTGACCCAGTCTAGGGCAGGAACATTGCTAAGTTAAGGATTTTTACATCTTACTAGGGGAGGCACTGGGGTGGGGGTGGGGGACAGGTAGGGACACGCGGCCCTTCTCCATCCCTTAGATTTTGCCATTACCATTCTGTGTGGAGGACTTTCAGGACCAGGTGACCGCACACGTCTAGAAATCGGATGACCTCAAAACCACCTCATTTCAGCTGAGGCCTCATGTCTTTTGCTTAGAGCTAAAAATAAAAACACATGTGAATGAACAAATGATCATGAACTGAAACCTCTAACGTGACACTAAAACACACAGCATCAGAAGCAACTTTATGTCTGAAAGCTGAAAGCGCACACATTTGTACACAGGATCAGAGCTCCAGGCTCCCTGGAAGGGTCCCCTTTCTATCCTTTTAAAGGCTAGAACAGTAACAATCATTGAACTCCAAGTTTGATCTACAAGCCAAAATAGAATATTTTGTTCACTTTCTGAAATTATGATTAAATTTATTTTTATATTTAAGTTAATGACATTAATGAAGTTAAACAAGATTTTAACTTTGTTACTTATATACACATATATTTGTACATTCATACATACCAGGGCAAAAAAAGCAAAGTACAATGTTGAGTCACAACAACGATCTGATAATTAAAAAAAAAAACAAGAGTTTTCAGAACTGGTTTCAACAGTAGTGCTGAAGTATACGGGAACTGACCGGATTCTCCAGTGAAAGCAAGCATTGGTTCATCCAACCAATACAGAATGTGCCTGAGCCCTAGATGGCAAAGCCAAGTACACAGAAGGGGTCCCAGCCAACCCAAGGCAGTAGGGCTGCTGCTTCCACCAGGAAGGACAGCAAAAGACCATGGGACTCAAACCCCACCAAGAACCCCAAGTATTCTCCGCTCTGCATCACTAACCTCTAAACTTCAGGACCAAGCATGATTTTAAAAATCCTACATGAGTCTTGAAATTCACTGTTCTCTTGGAACACAGGGGTATACTCTGATCCCAAACATGTCTTGGGTTATTTTCAAAGGTCAAAATGACCAAAAGCCTCTTAGGCAGTACTTCAGTTAGCTGGAGCTGTGATGTAAACTTCAGAAATCTTGCTGGCAGTTAGTTACACTGGAGTCAGCTCTCCCTATGGTATAACTAAGACAAGCAGCTTACGGGTTTTAATTCCATTCATAAACACCGAAGTTAAACACAGCTCCTAAGTTAGCAAGCAGCATCTGCATCAACATTCCTGTTGGGTGTTTCACATCTGTCTGCTGTGTGTATCAAATGGCATACTTTAATTCTGTGATACAACTTAAGGTCTACCTTTCTTCTGGCAATAGGAGTAGCCAGCACATATTTAAGCCAGCTCATCTTCTAGAACTTTATATGAGGGCCAACTAAGTTTAAACTCTAGACAAATGTTAGTAAGTTATATTGGCTTGACTCGAAAGTTCACAGACTTGTGCTTTAAAGTAATACGCTATGATTAAATATTTATAATAACTATAGGGATAATCTAAATTCTGGTCATGGGCAAGTCTTAAGCAAATGCTCATGTGGTTCTCTACTCTGAAGCAAATTCCAATCAAGAAAATCTGGCAGCTACTAGTTGCAAGCAGCCCATTCCTCTCTTTCCCATGTCACAGTTATCTGAAGTACATTCAGAAAGGGTAAGTAACAGGCACGCATTTCTGTTAAGCCTTATTTACCTCAAACTTCCAAATTTGTCCTGCATCAACAAAGAAGCTATCATTCAGCCTGCAGCTCTTCCTAACTCGCCTTTCTACCAATCTTTGCGACAGAGAGACAGACAGACAGGTACATAGGTGCAGCTGGGAAGCTCCAGTCTCCTCCCCAGAGCCCACACCTCCCCTTAGGTTGGCTATTCATTTTTCTGCTACAGTCACGTAAGCCTGTCCCCTTTTCTGCATCGAGTGTTAGGTTTGGTTTTTTAATTCAAATTACAGACCACAACAACAAACAGCACGATTGAGTCCACCCCATGTGTTTCAATCTCATAACTTAACTACACTGACTTTGGTTGCAGCCTTTGACAATAGGCATCTTGACATCTGAAGGCACATTTTAGCTTTCTTAGGCTTGGAGGGAAAAGCTGCCCTCAAACGTCGCAGACAAGGCTGGCCTTGAACTCCTGGCCTCCCATCCCAGCTTCCACCTGGTTTACACTTAGTCCTAAATTACAGTAGCATAAAACTCCATTTGCCTCGTCAGGAATGTCACAATGGCTTCCATTAAGATGTGACCAAAGAATTCTAGTGAGTTAGAAAAATTAAACAACTAATAAAATCAAAATTCTAAAAAAAGACCCTGACTTCAGATTATGGTCACAGAAAGGAAAAATGCATAATAAAGACGCAGAGAATATTTTCAGTAAAAACCAAAGAAGAAAATTTCCCAAACCAATAGAAAGAGATGTCTATCTGGGTAAAACTGGCCTAAAGAACTCCAGTAAAAACTAAAGGAAGTATATAAACCCATAGAGACGAAAATCCATGGTACTGGATGATAATTGGTCACTGAAAAAAAAAATCAAGAAGGAAATTTAAAAATTCCTAAAATAGTGAAAATGAAAACACAATATACCAAAATCCATGGGGCACAATAAAGGTGATTCCTAAGAGGAAGTTTACAGTGCTGGCTCTACATCAAAATTTTTTGAGAGATCTCAAATCAATGACTGCATGCCTTGGAAAAACAAGAACAAATAACATCCAGAAAAATTACATGAGAGGGGATAACCAAAATTGGGGCTGAAATTAATGAAATAAAAATTAAAAATACAAAGAATTATAAAATGAAAAGTTAGTTCTTTGGAAAGAGACAAACTTTTAGCCAAATTCACAAGAAAAGATAGAAAGTCAACCAGACACAATGAAAGGTTAAAAGGCGACATTACAACAGACACCGAGGACAGCTGAAGAACTGCAAAGAATGTACTTTAAAAACTAAACTAAAAAATTTACTAAATTATAGTAAATTTTAGTAAAAAAATAGTTTAGTTTTCGACTAAACTAGAAAATGCAAAAAAAAAAACAGATGATTTCCAGATATATGACCTACTAAAGTTCGATCAAGAGGAAGCAAACAACTTAACATGACAACCAATGAGATAGAAATAGTAACTAAAATTCTCCCAACCAAAAAAGGCAAGGGTCAGATGGACGGGCCCAGAATTCTACCAAGCCGTGAAGAACTAATATCAACACTCCTCAAGTTAGTCTGTATGAAATAAATAAACAAATAAATATGCCTCACTCACGTTAGTCTTTACTAAATAAATAAATGAACAGAAAAGGTAATTATAGGTCAATCTCCCTGATGAACACAGATGCAAAAATTATTAACCACATACTTGCAAACAAAGTTCAGAAACACATCAAAAAGATCATCCACCATGATCAAGTGGGCTTTATCACAGATATGCAGGGATAAATTTAACACCAGTAAAGTAATCCACCACAAAAATAGATGCAGGGACACAAAGCACATGACACCTCTTTATATGCAGAAAATAAACCTGACAAAATTCAACATGCCTTCATGATGAAAAAAAAAAAATCCTGGAGACTACAGCGATAAAAGAGACATATTTCAACATAATACAGCAGTAGACAGCAAAAGCCAGTTTAGACCACAATCTGGGTTCCAGTACTAGATCCTTCTGATTTCTTCTCTCCTATAAACGAAAATATTTACAGAGACGTTATAAAACAGGTATACGGTGGCATGACTGTCAACATGCACATGGCCAATGAAAACAATCATATTGTCTACAAGGAAGTAGGTTTGAAGCTGCCACTTATGCTGCTATAGAGACGCAACCTGGGCACATCAGCAAGTGCACAAATGCTGCAGCCAAAAAGAGACACAAGCCATTTGCTTTTCCAAAGCGGGGTTTTAGGGAGGAAAGAAACAAATGATGGATGGCTGTCCAAGAAGCTGTTATCTCAGAAGAAGAGCTTTTCGCTTACCACTTCATGGTTCTAGAGTATAATTTCCGTATAATGAACAATTATTACTTTTTCTAGCAAAATATTTCCCTGGATGCTTTACTAAGCACTTCAAAATTCTACAAATTGAGTTTCTGAATATGGATAGAAACAGATGGCTGTCGGGTCTACTGTGAGCCACTGTGAACATGAGAATTCACACACAGTTCAGGTGTCAAAGAATTGAGGATGGTAACTGCTGATGTGACCTGGGCACCATGATTCTTTAATTTGACCACTTCTTGCTTCTTCCAATATCCTTCAGTCTACACACCCCAGGCAAAGTAAATTTATACTACAAGCTCCAGGACACAGGGGACATGTCAACATATCACAGGGCTTGGTTTTTTACTTCCGAGATCTTGACAAGCTATTCAGGAGCATAGTGTGTGCCACAAAATTAGTGATCTTCCACCTAGAGACACAACCAACCCAGGAACCCCATGCAGCTGACATGCAGATGGCAGACTCTAACCCAATACCTCTGCCAGTATGTTCCATCTTGCCTTGTTCTGAGACACCTACCCTTACAAATGGAATACAAGGCTGGAGTTAAAGCTCCCAGTAAAATGTCACTGGAGAAAAATCTGTCTCCCAGGGAGGAAGCCAAGAAAAACATGCTGCAGAAACCCCTTGTTGACGTCACAGTCCTCATGGCTGCTCCCACATCAGCAGTGAACAGACCTGAGCAGAGGATAGCAGAAGGACAACCACTCTGGTGAGATCAGAACATTTTTGACCACAAGTACATGCAAGAAGGGGAAAAAACCCCACAGGTGCCCATATTCCGGTGGTCGCCCAGGATGACGATGTATGTCTATGGCAGTTTGCTACTCAAAGTGCTCTCCCTCATCTCAAGTCGAGCCAGCTCTTCTTTTTGGCTCTCTGCACACCTCTCCTGTAGACTTTATCCCATGCACTACTCCACCCCTTCCTCCCCTGTCCATCTTCTTTCCACCCCATAAGCACAAGCACACTGCCAGACCCCAGAACAACCCACGATCTCCTCCCCTGTGTATATCACCAACTTGTTATGGACATATTCCAATGGCATCTAATCACTCATTAACTGCTTATTGGAAAATGACAATACACCAGGGCTTTGCGAGTAAAATGAGATTGTTAGTGATGGCTGCTGTCATTGCACAAACCATCGGGCACATTCTCTGGTTTGAAATGTTACTTTTCACAAAGGAAAAGATTCTAGGACTGAAGGGTACTCCTGAAAGATCTCATTTGGTCTTTCTGCCCTGCCTCTCTGGGGCCAGTCATTCTTATAGGCCCCAGATCACACACAGCCCTGACTGGGAACTGGGAAGAATTGTGTCTGTGTTGAGACCTAAGGGCTGGATAGGAGGTGGCTAAGCAGAAAGTATGAACAATAGTATCCCAGGTAGGGACCTGGACCTTTGAGACCTGAGACCACAATGTGGTATCTTGGGACATCAGGCTGGATGATGTGGGGATAATTTTGAAGAAAGTCAGTTCTAGCCCAAGTAACAACCACAGGCAACAGAGAAGGCATTCTCAATGCACCTTGCCTCTTGCTCTTGGTGTCCTTCCATCCCCTAAGGCCAGCTGGGCACCCAGACAGAAGAGCTGCTCAAATGTCGCAACTCCTGTTTACTCTGGAAATGACTCCTGACTTGAGCCTGAAGCACAGGCTCTTGCTGGCTTTGCCCCTCAGCGTCTCTCACAGCATTCTACACACAGGAAGTGTTCAGGATTTGTACAGTGGATGGACCGGTCTCCGAAGGAAACTCTAGACGAGAAATAGCAACACAAAAAATGGAACCTTGCTGTGGTGTTTCCCTGGGCTCTGCCAAAACACATAGCAACTCCAACAAGAAACTCCTTTAAACAAACCCCCATCAACAGCCTGCGGCTGTGTCGCTGTCCTTGGTGCTGACCAGCCCCTGCACATGTGTGTGGTAAAGTTCCTAGAGAACGGAAGCATACCAGCCGCCTAGCGAGCCTTAGGTCGTTGTCCTTGGTGCTGACCAGTCCCCTGCATGTGTGAGTTGTGTGAGTGGTAAAGTTCCCTAGTGAACAGGAGCATGCCAGGCACGCTACTGCTCCTTAGGTCGTTGTCCTTGGTGCTGACCAGTCCCTACATGTGTGAGTTGTGTGAGTGGTAAAGTTCCCTAGTGAACAGGAGCATGCCAGGCACGCTACTGCTCCTTAGGTCGTTGTCCTTGGTGCTGACCAGTCCCTGTATGTGTCATGCAGTCATGCACCCTAATGTTAACAACCACCACTACTACTGTCACTCTGCTACTAGCTTTCACATCTGTCAGTCACCGACACACCCTTCCCTTGGGTCATAGGTGAGTCATTTTTAAACTTCTCAGAATATTCTCTTCTTTCCATTTTGACAATTTTAGTGCATGCTAGAAGTTACTGGCCAACATCATACATACATTATAGCAGGGAAATTAGGATTACCACATTCTATAAAGTAAAAAGATGGACCAAGTAATATCACTTGATTTTGAAATGGGGGAGAGGATAGGCTCAAATTTCACTAGAATTATGGGTACAAATTTAAAAAGAAATGCACAAATTATTTATTTTATATTTTTGGTTGTGAGTCTAGCCTTTAATGGCTGAGCCATCTCTCTAACCCAGGAGTTACTTATTTTAGAAAAAATACTATCCCACTAACAAACCAAACTGTTGATATGGTTTTTTTTGGCTAGGTTTTAAGGGGTCACTTTTTTTAAAATTATAATTATGTGGGGAGGGGGCAGTGTTAATGTGCACTTGAGTGCCGACAACCACTGAGGCCAGAAGTATCTGATGCTCATAGAGCTGGAGTTACAGGTAGTTGTGAGCTGCCCAATATGGGTGGTGGGAACTAAACTCGAGTCCTCTGTAAGAGTAATACTTGTTCTTAACTGCTGAAGTATCTTTCCAGCCTCCTCTTTGTCAGTTAAGAACAAAACACAACACCTTTAGTGTATGGCACACACTTACGCGTGGTGCACATGTGGAAGCCAGAGAACAAGTTGAGGTAGTGGTTCTCTCCTTCCACCATGCCACGTGAGTACCAGAGAGCAAACTCACGTCATCAGGCTTGGCAGCAAGTACCTCTACCCAATGAGCCAAATCACCAGGCCCTGACTTTCTTTTAAAAGTCCATCAGCTCGTCACAGTGGTGCTCAGAATTAGCTCTCACATTAGTTAAACACAGACATCTTTATACAACTTAAACAGAATGGTCTTCCTCTTGGTCTTGCACTCCTATTTCTTTATAACCAAAGGTAAGAATGTCATAAAGTTTAAATACTACTGATAGGGAAAAAATTTAAAACCTCTTATCTACAATCTTTGTCTTAAAAAATATCTTGAGAGCAAGTTGCACACTCTGGAGCTCAATGTAGGCACACGCCAGCCTGTTTCTATCTGCATGTGGCTGCCTCAGTAGTAAAGTTGGAAATGGAAGAGTCTTTGATGCATGAGTCCTGATCACAGGAAGATACTGTGTTGACTGCAAGAGATTTTTTGACTCTAATAAGGATGAAAGCAAAAACTGCTTGTCTTTGGAGTCACAACACAGAACCCAGCTTTTTGGAGTTTTTTGGTGGGGAGGGGGTAGTATTCAAAACTTTGCTCCATGAAATGCATGCCATTGTGTTTTTCCTTTCTTTTAAAAATTATTCATTTACTTTCGACAACTTACTATTATTTATAAA